TAATGTCCCATTCCAAGGTAGGAAGACCACCTTGTGATTTGAACATTGTTGAAACCTTTGTAACTTCCTTCAAACAAAAAAAATAAAGATTGATAAGTCCAAAAGAAGTTATAGGGCTTGTAGACAAAGCAAACAATGATGAGGCAATGAAAAATATCCTAAAATAAATAGCGGTGGTACAACAAGTGCTAGTATTATTATTGTTCTCTTAGTCGAAGAAATATCATACAAGTTACAAGCAAAAAATATATTATTGTATCAATTATGTCATTATGTTTATATTGACAATGTAATATATATATATATATATATATGAGGAGATAAGAGTAACCTTCTTAACTTTAATGAAATGCAACTAATCAGCTCTAAGGCTAAAATCTTAAAAGTAATTTTCAATAATTTTAAAAGTAATTTTTTGACTGAGCTCAAAAATACAGCATACATTTAACACAACTATGATAATAAACCTACCAATTTTCATTAGCAGATCTAATTTAAATGTCACAAAACTATCTAAAGTATAAACCTTTATTATTTCTCAAGAACCAAAGTCACCTCAAAACAACCCTGACTCTACAAAGTTCTTACAAAGTCATTACAAACTTAATCATTCAAAATCAACTCCTAAAAAACCTCTTGCTTGTCTACTCTTGAATTCCATTCTTTAGCCAACAAAAGAACCTCTTATTTTTTTTTAGCCAAGTGATTTTATATTATGGAATCTAATTTCAATTTAACTTCACAATTGATCCTCCTTGGATATCAATTTAAGGTTTTTTTAAGAACTTTTTGTCAAAAGCTATTTTAAACTATCACCTTAAGATATGCATATAGTATTCATTTTGCTAATTTATCATTTTTTACCTAGTTTATGATCCTACAAAGTAAGTAGAAACCAATTTTATAAAAAGAGAAGATGATACTAAATATTTTTACCACCTTCCTATCTATATTTATATTATTTTTAAGTAATTTTTAATTAAATTTTTAATTAAGCTCTTTTATAATATTTTTTTTTCTTTCACCAATTAGTCATATTATTACATGGCAACATACCAAAGATTGTAGAATTTCTTCATGAAGGAGATTTCAATAATGACTCCCAATGGCTTATAGATCTTAGCTAGAATATTTTCTTTTTCTTTTTCTGACTTAAATTTATATATGAATATTAGCTATAAAGGCTTTAAGACATTAAAGGCAATTAATGCATATGATTCTACCTTGCTTGATTTTTATTTTTATTTTTATTTCTTATTGTTGTATTAAATTAAAACTAAACTGATAATGTATTAGATGTTTAGCCAAAGAAAGTGAATTATATTTTTATTAAATAAAGAATCTAAAAATTCTATTAAAATTTTGAATCAATTTTAATTAAATCTTAATTGAATATTAATTATTATAGTTAAATCTTAATCAAATTTGAAATAGTCTTTAAAAAATTCTAAGAGAATCATTAGATAATTTATAAAAATTATAAAGAATAATAAAAGAAATTCTAAATAAATTCTAAAGAATTAATAAAAAAATTATAAAGAAATCTATAAAATAATATTTTAAAAAAATAAAAATTTATAAAAATAAAAAAATAAAAAATGAAATTATTTTTATAAAAATCATGAAGAATTTATATAATATCTTAAAAAGATTCTTTTAAAATTCTAGGAATACTTTTATAATATCAAAGATTAAAACTCAAAGAATGTAAATCAACAAGTGAGACATTTTTTAAAGAAAGATGACAAAAAAATATGTATATATATATATATATATATATATATATATATGTTTAAAAAGAAACTAGAATAGCTATTATCAAAAGACAAGAAAACTAGAGACACTTCAAACTAGATTAGAAGTAAAAAAAGTGTTGACAAGAGTGAGGAAGGCCTCACTCTTGCCTCCATATGTATTATCTAACTAAGAGGTGCATAGTGATGTTTTGTAGGACCCTCAACATGTATCCAACTCATAAGACATGTGTCTAACTTTCAAAACAAGCTTCATATATGCGCGATTTATATTTAACTTGTACCACAAGTAGCCAACATGTACAACATATGGCTAAGTTTTGAACCTACCAATCACATATAGACATGTATAAAAGAAAAGCAGCATCTATAAAGCTTCTTTATAAGATATTATCAAATTTATCTTCTTTCATTTACTTCTATCTACTCATATTATTTAGTTAATTATTAAGATAAATATGGATATCTATGACAAATACGACCTTAAAAATATCATAAATAAATCCTAATAAATCATAATAAATATCTAAACAAACTTTAAAAAATAAAAATAAAATTGTAAATAAATCCTATCAAATTTTAATGAAACTCTAAAGATATTTTACAAACCTTAATAAAATCCTAACCAAAACCTAATCAATACTAAATAAATCTTAAAAAATATTAATGAAATCATGAACAAATCCTAAAAATTTCTAATGAAATCCTAAACAATCTTAAAAATTCAATAATTATTAATTGAATTATTGATATTACTTCAAATTTTGTACACATTACAAATTAATCATCAAATATAAATACAATAATTTAAAAAATAATCTAATTTACAAATTAAAAGAAAATATTTTTTAATTCCTTAGATATCAATCGTCTTTTTTTTTAAAACCTTGATGTTGATTTTTTAGGAGTAATAATTATTTATTTAATTATTTATTTATATTCAAATTAACAAAATTGTTAAAAATTAAATTCAAGGCTTACTTATAAAATTTTAATTCAATTCAAGCAATAAATCATTTAAGATCAAAAAAATCCTTATCAGCCTTTAAAATCTAACCATTAAAATAAATTCAAATTCATAAATTAAATTCAACATAATTAGATGCACAAGCCTACAACTGTTTATCCATCAATATATTAGAATGTTCACAAAATTTTCTAACATATGAATTGTCTCTTATTTCTCAAATCCAAACCACCTCTTATTTTGAAAAGTTCTTAAAATTTCAATATTAATCCAAATCACTCAAAATCAATGCTTAACCAAACTTTATTAAGTTTTTCTCTAATTTTTTTCTTTAAGCAACAAAAGAGCTCTAGATTTGTTGTAAAGGCACTATTTTACACCTCAATGTCTAATTTTCACCTAGGTTCATAACTACTCTTCTCCAAAAAATAATATTTAGTTTTTTTAGTTAATTTTTCTTAGAACTTTTTATTTATTTCTACCTTAAGATGCCAAGGATACTAATTTTGCTAATTTATATTTTTTTTCTTATTTATGATCCTACAAAATAAATAGAATATCATTTTATAAAATAATTATATTAATTATTATTAATTTTACTACCTCCTTGACTATTATCTATATTTTTGAGATAATTTGCTACTATATTTTGAAATAAAATATTTCATAATGTAATGTTTTCTTCTCTCTTTTACCAATTAGTCATGTTATAATATGACATCCTTTGTACTTGTATGCAATGTCTTGTCTATATGCATGTAGACTTTATATATATATATATATATATATATTCATTAAGTGCTTCATGACAAATGCTCATAAATCATTGTTCCTATCATCCAACTAATTAATGTGATGGTTATTTGAAGATAATGCCATTGCCGAGACAACAAATGTAACAACTATGAAATTATTGAACAATAAGTCTTGTAGTAATAACAATAGAACAATCAATAATAACAAATGTTGTATCAAAAGCAATAGCAAAGGGCAGCAATACCAAGTTATAATAAAATAGAAACTGCAACAACAATCACTTCTTAAATACCAATAATGGTAATTAGCAACAACAGTAGCAACAACACCAATCAACAACAGCAATAATAAGTTTGTGATTAGTATTGGTCACACTCAATAACAAAGCATCATGGTTGCTATTCCAAAACAGACCCAACTTTAATACAATGTAACAAAATAGTAGCTATGGCATTCATCCAATTAGTAGATTTTATTTGTTATGATTACAAATGCACCAAAAGAGGGGAGGAAGCACCTTTGTCAAAGTTTGATTATATGTTAGATAAGTTCCAACTTATGGTACTTTCATTAGAGCATTATTCAATATACTCTACTTTTTATAACTATCTCTTATTTTCTAAATTTTTTTCTTCTTCACTAATAGATAAGTGTATTGTTTCTTTAAGATTCTAAAGTGATTCATGTCCTTGACATACTACGGTGTATTTTGTATTGGAAAATATATTTATTTCTTTTGTTTAATTTTTTAATTTTTTATAAATTTTGTAATATTACTAATTTAAAAACTATATATATCACAAATTCATCCATGTATCTTAGCAATTTTTTCTAGTTATTGTCAATAGTTTTGAATCTCCAAAGTTTTATCTTTGTTCAAATTGAGTTTTTTTTTAAATACTAATCATTAAAGTCCTAAAATTGAAGCATTAAGAAGTAACTATGTTTTTTGTATGAGTTTTTATATGATTAGTTTGCTTCAAAATAGTATATATTGCATGCTACTTTTAATAAAACTTTGTATATATTCTTTGAATGTGCAATAATTCTTTCAAAGTAATCAAATTTATATAACACTTTTTAATGTAAAGATATTAAAATTTTAATTTTATTTTACTAATAGTAGAAAGTATGCACAAGTCTTATGTCATATTATTATCATATTTTGATATTTCATTGGTAAACACATCAATTTAAATGTTTAATGTAACAATAAATTACATACATATATAAATATATAAATATATATATTCCATGTGATGAAATAAATCCACATGAATAAATTTTAACATGTACAAGAATAAGCTCTTGGCATTCATGTTTGTATTCACTTTTACATTGTTATTCAAAATTTGATATCCTTAAAAATATACACATTTTTTTATCGAAAATAGCATGTTTTGGACACCAAGTGAGCAGACCATATGAAAACTAGTGAAAACTACATAGTTGTTAATTAAATTGTAGGACACTTATGACTCCAGTGTCTTAAAATAAAACTCAACCAAGGCAGACGCAAAACTTTGGAGATTCAAGACCATTTGAAATTAGACAAAAACTAGAAACAATGGCCAACACAGCTGGATGAGTTTTTTATCCAAAATGTATGAGATGTACAGTACCCTAGGCTCAAGTCATTTCTGCAAGTCACTCTTGCAATAAAGCCCGACCTAAGTTGCATGCCAAGGCAAGCCGTATCCTCTCTAACGATTGGCGCGAGAGATCACGTGGGTCAATTCCCTCCAGATCACCTCGGACCTTGGCAAGTGAGAGCTCTTGCAACCTACTCAACAAAAGATTCGTTTCATGAATACCTAATAGCGGCATCTCTGGCCACTCCAACAACTCAACCTGATATTCAATGAAGTAGACAAGATGAGAACCAACTTTTAAAATGCACGAGAATCATTAAAACCACAAGCCAAAATAACATTGAAAGTTAAGGTAAGCAGATAAGTAAATATAGGAATTGCACGAGTGCCATGAATCATACCGCATCTCGCAACAGTGGTAGCCAGAATCTCTGGGGTGTGACTTGAGGTTTCAGCAACTGCAGTAGAAAGTCATCCATAAAGATGCAGTCACCCAGTCAAGGAAACAAATAAAAATACAATCGCATGAAGCTAAAATCTGAAAAACTTAATGCAAAGCTCCAATGCCTTGAAAAAAGTAACGAAAAAGTACTGATAAACCAATAAAGCATCTCAGGGTTCCAGACAACGATGATAAATATACCTGTAACAAGAAATCAGCTGCTTGTCTGCCTTGTTCAGCTATCTTCTGCTGATCAGTTTCCTGTTTACGCAACTTTTTTATAATTTGAAGACCAGTCTTGAAATCCTTATACCTTCACAGTGGAGAGAAGTCGCGTGATAAAATAGAGTCAGAGACCAGAGTTAATCAAAAAGTTGAACTTCATACGAACAAATGAAGAAACCTCTCATCACATTCATCCATCCAGTCACGAATTCCACACCCAGAAGGCATGTACCTGTGTAAGAAAGTGAGCCCCTGAGATGAATGAAGCTCAGATCCAAGTAGGTCAACGAGGCCTTCAAGTTCCTGCAAGGCGCCAAGATACATGTGTTTAACAAGATGTCTTGGAGGGATCACGATACATGGATGCATTGGGATCATGTGGTACCTCTCACCTGAAGAGTTTCCATTTGAGAACCACTCATACCCAGTGATACTGATTCCAGAAGTTCATCTGCCACTGCTGCAAGACGTCTGTCATCTTGAGCCCGTTGCAACCAGGCTATGCCCGCACCCTTGCGTCCATGTTTCCAATGATGCACCCCAACAATCTGCGATCTCTAATCGATAAGTAGATGCCATAGATTGTGACGTTGAAATGGAAAGAGCTGGACTAGTAAAGAACATACAAATGAAGCAGAACAAAACAATATATCAGTAAGCAGGTACTTCAATCTCATGCTGGAATGTTATCGTACCCTATTTACAGTTGTAGCTACCGTCCCAAGGTCATACAGTCGGCACACCTCCAAGACCTGAGGGTCAAACAAAAGAATTCACGAAAAGGTGTATGGTGAACTTCTCAGGTTCAAGAACAGAAGTCTTGCATTTTGGATCAACATTCCAAATCATAGATGTTCGTTAAATTAAGATACTTCTATATGATTGTGCTACATTTAAACTAATGTTAAAAAAGAAAAAAATTAGAAAAAATATGGCCTCCATAACTGAGATAAACCCACTTTGAGAGCCAAACGGTCGCTGGTAGAAACTGGCTGTTTCAACAATAGTGTCTCCAGAATGCCCAAACCCTGCCGTGGACAAAATGATAGGTAAACTGGCGCGAGCTGCATGAGCAACAACAAGAATGAATATATTGTTAAGGTATCCATCTCTCAAATCTGAGCATCAGAACCAGTCAGAATCTACTTGGTAGGAAACCATGCGCACTAACATCTACACGAACATGAAAAAATGACGGCTGACAACGGCCATACCTGCCAAGTAAGCTGATGAGAACAAAGAACTTGAGCATAAGACAAGCGGTTGAGTTCTTCCAAACTAATGCCACCCAAGGCATACCGCTCCTCCCTTAAAATTGACTGGGCATACTTGCTCTTTGCTGTTAACAACTCCATCAGGTGTGCCATCAACCTGTGCGTCATAATGTTGACGTAGAGCTCTTATTATCAGATCCTTGATAACTAAGATGGACAAAAAAACTAAGAAATTGACCCTGATCAATAATTTTTTATAAAGCAATACATTTAAATGTTAAAATGATTTTGAGGATGTGAAACTAAATTACAATTGTGGTCACTTACCAAGGATCGAAAAGCCTAGTACACTCAGCAACAACCACCTGCGTTAACACCATGAATCAATTCATCACGAGGTTAGACATGCTTCAGATTCAACCATCACAATTAACCAAGTACTTAGACCATGAAAGCTCGCAAAAGCTTCATTACGCCTTCTGATAATATCTTGCGAAAAAACACACTGAAGAACAAGAGAATAAATAAGAATTGACCTTACAAACAAGAACAAGACATCAACTTAATAAAAGCGACGAGATCCATTCTACAGATAGTAAAGTGTAAGCCACATTCAAACCATGAAACTAAGATTTAAGCTCTGCAGGCTCGAAGATACATGCTCAGTTTCAAAAGGATCAAACATAGTAAATGTGGGTTAAACCTCGGTGTCATCACTTAGAATTGCTAGCGTGAGCTCCTGAAGAGGATCATTTGCAGATGTAGATTCATTCATTCCTGAATCTCCCTTAGACTCCACGCACTTCACAGCATAACCTGCTAAACCCTCGGACACCTACACTTCACAAGATTAGAGAAGACATCCGTATCATACAAAGGTTTAATACAGCTAAACCTAGGGCTGCCTTTCATCAATCTATCATGTAAAGCTACAATCCCTTCTCTGTCTATAAACGGCGATAAGAGTTTGCGCCTCCTACCAGAGTCCAGAAAGAGTAAATCCTGTAAGAACTCTATTGTAAATATCGATTAATTGCCATTGCAACTACATCTGCAAGCACGACTGATTGGTCAATAGATTACGAAAAACACATCATCTATAGGTGTCAAGACAATACCTTGGAAAATGGCTGAACGTGAAGCAAATGAGCAACTAATAGCTCCATCCAGTGGGTGGTAGATAGCAGTAGGTCCTCTATACTCCCAAGTAAGACTTTTAGAAGCTTCTTTAAACCCTTTTGAGTAGTAATATTATTACATTCTCCCCAATATGTGCTTCCATCCAATTTCGCCACTTGACTCCGCCACTTCTCCCATGCCTTAATTCCATTTTCAAATAGTGTGTCAGTAACGCTTGCCACAAGAGCCAAAAAGTGCGATAAGAACAATCAGTAATTGGCGTAGGGACTTTCAAAGGAATAAAGTATACAACTCACCTTGCTAAATTCAGGTTTGAAGTCAAAAGCTTGACCAGGAGCACCCGCGGGTAAACTTGGTCGAAGACGAGGCATCTTTGATATCAATACTGCCACAGTTTCAACTAAACCATTCTCAACCTGCACATCAACAAATACAGGTCAATCACCATCATGCGCAAACTGCAGCATAAAGGTTAAGATCATAACAGCCACAGACAAGGACAATCCAGCATTATTGCTCCAAGTGATATGATGACATTCGTTTCACTAGCTTCGGTACAGTGGTTAGCAAAAGCTGAAACTGCAAGATTGCAATTGCATTCTAGATGCACGGCTTATGGAATGGTGGCGAAAACCAACAATAGCCGAGTAGACCTGGGAGACTGGAGAAGTAGACACACAAAGTTCAGTTGCATGGGTAATCACACACACATTAATCAAAGCTTACATTGCGGTTGTCAATTTGGTCATGCTGATAAGACCCATGCATTCGGAGTAGATAAACCTGCATTCATTTATTTTGTAAGTGACAGGCATTCCAGCTTTCAAGCTCGTGCACAAGTAGAATTCGGATGAAAACTTACTTTCACATGTGCATAGGCCAAAGAAGTCAATGAGAAAAAAATGAGACAATCTAAACGAGACTTGAAACCGAAGATGGCCGATACTAAGGAAGAGCTTGTCAAGGTGGAGGATTAAAAGAAAGGTGTACGTGGAGTTTAAAAGTATCATCATCAAACAGAAATAGAGCTCAAAATCCTCACCGCAATATCAAGCCATCCAACTGCAAGCGCAGAAGCTACTCCATCCCAGTACTCTTTCTCCTCTTCTGGAAACTAATACAAGAAACAATTAAATTGAGTACCAGTCCAGAAAACTAGATTGCATATATCAGAAATACAATTGGACTACAACATGAAAGTTTTATTACTTACATTGAGACTAGAGACTAGGAGCAATCAGATTTTCCGGCTACCACAAATTATTGTATACTAGATTAACAAATTACATCAAGTTAACTAACAGGAAGATGATTATTACCCGTAAATTGACTAGTCTCTGCTGGAGCTTTGTCAGCTTGGTATGCAAGGTATTACTTGATAACACAGCATCGTAGCTCTGAAATGAAAATGAAAGGAAAGTCGACTTAAAAATAAATAAATAAACTATAAATTGTCAAACAAAAGATTTATAAGCAAATTGTAGCACAGATTAAGCACCAACTCATATGTATAAGCCAAAAGCACTCATGTGCACGACGAAAAAATCTTCAGATAACGCCTTTCATTCTAGAGTAGCTAGGATATTTAGAAATTGTTGCAAGGTAAAAGTAGTAACACGACAATTCGCCACCCAAGTTTTAAATAAAATGAAATGAAATGCAGAGAATCCAGCAATAACTTACAGCCAGCCACTCCACCAAACGCTCTGGCAACCAAGATGCACCATTTTTATCAACATAGAATATTTCCACAAGGTCCCAAATGGCCTTCACAGTTGTTGGCTTGGTACTCGCTTGTAGCTCCTGCTACGTCGAGATTATAACAAGAAAAAGATTAATAACATCAAACCAGGTTGTCGCCTAGCAGGAAGTGTAGACAACAGAAAGACACCCGTCACAGCAACGCCGTAAAGGATGACCACTATGATAAACCTTACATAAAACTTAATAAGCACATCCACTATTTCACACAATAGAGTAAGTAAATCAACCTTGCCTTTGTAGGGAAGCCAGAGAAGTCTGTAGCTGAGCCAGGAGGTCCAGAAGCGGGTCCAAGTGTGGCACTGATGATTTGGCTGTACTCCAACACCGCTTGCCACCTACCACAAAATAAGAATATTATCAAGGAATTATGCATAATCAGAAACGTCACAAAAGTACGGAAAAAGAAAAAGAAAACACACACACACAGAATAACGGCCTTCCGTTCATTAAAATGGAAAGCATATGTCCTCCAACAATGACAGCAATGCCTTGGTACTGTCTTCTAAGTCCTTGCAAGCGTCCTATGATGAGGATACTAAATGTACATTGTAGACAGGATGAGGAAGGTAAGCTGACTACGAGACATTGCGTAATGCGAGTTAGACTGCTGCATTAAAAAAAAAAAAAATTAAAAATTAAAAAATCCAAAGCATGTCATCAGAGGACCTCCGTGCGACATTCTTCAAAATTGAGTGCATGGCCTTTATTAACATCGACGACATCACAAGACTTTCCGGAAATTAGTAATGCGCATAACTCGTTACCATGGGCTCGGTAACACAATTCCTATAAGTACACATGGAATACGCCAGAAAAATGTGTTTAATGCGCGCATGAAACGACTGAAGAGGAGCTGCCCGCTTAACTGGCGTCAATGCTCATTATCAAAGCTTAATATAACTACAGATTGTTTGAAGAAAGGAATCAGTTCCCTCCAATTAGAAAAAGCGCCGAGGTGCAGACAACATAAAATCTTCGTGACAAATTTATGTTAAGTCTCGAAATATAGATGTTTTGATGAGTAGTGGCTGCTCTGTCGTAAGTAGAGGTACCCGCACCATTTCAAACAGGGCGCAGACCCGGTGCAGCTATACAATCTAAAATAATTAGCCTCTGATTTATTTTAAGGAATTCAAGAGGACGCTACGTTTCTGAGATAATTGTTCAAAAGAACGGTCAAAGAAAAATATTGTCATCTCAGACCAAACGATCAATAGTTCGTAAACTCTCATAAACCCTAGGACCTAAGTATTGATGTTTTTGAGAAGTTTTATAATACGTACGACACTCACGTAAATATCATAGATTGAGCTGTGGTCCGCGACTTTGCCCAGTAACCTCGAGCAAGCAAAATGGATTAATAAATGAGGAAAGGAGAACATACCAATCAAATGTACCCGTTCGGCTTGATCCGCCATCACTCTGCAGCATTTGCTGCTTCTGATTCTGCAATAACGCGAATGCCTGAGCAGAAGAATAAGCAAGGGCCCGCTTCTCAGCAAGCGGCTGATCGTCCTTCTTTCCCAGCTTGACCTCCACCACTTGACCATTCGCGGCATCACCCTCCCGAGAGCTAGAAATTTTCATGTCGTCATCTCCATCTCTTACGACCTGCGGCAGGTATGATAAGCGCAGAGTGTTTCCCGGCCCCCAGGAAACTAGAACCCTAGGCGTACTGGCCATAGAATGGTGCACCGTATGCACCACCGGCGCACCGTCTCCCCCCGCTGAGACCGGCGAGTTCGCGTAGGGCACAAAATCGCCTCCATTAAAGGACGGCATTTGCATTCAATGTCAGAGAACTCTTTTTCTCTACCGCTGAAACCAATTGCCAAGTCTTTCTTGCAACCTCACTACTCCAACTTGCGCCGGCACTCGTCACTTACGCTCACACTCGCCACAGACATTCTCAGTAACATACTACACCTGCAATATCACCGAAGTCATTCTTCACAACTGCGATGTTGATGAGAATGGCCTCTCACATAATTCAAGCAGGCTCTGCGACTTGTGTGCGAGCTGGAGTTCCAAATTCAAAGCAGCAAGTTCCATCGCAGAACATGATTCAACGTTCCCGCAGCTGCGAGACGGTGTATCAATCTTCTGCGGTTCGACCTTGAGGGTATCGACCAGGCGGGTGTCAATTGTTAGCCTGTCCATCGAGAGGATATCAATAGCAGGGCATCAATAGCGGCGGTGCCAAAGAGGAGGGTGCCAATCGTCAAAATGTTATTCGTATGATATAAATTATTCTCTAAAAAAAATTGTAGTTTTTTTCTAATTTTTTTATACGATATTATATTGTTTTAATGACGGCATTACCATTCTCATTAAATAAATTCTACAACATTACATTGATTTATATTGTTTTATGTATGCAAGAATTCAAAAAGTGGTTGAAAAATAAATATTTTGTTTTATATCTTTTTTACCTTTATACAAAGTGTTTATGCATTCTCTGAGTTATTAATTTATATTTACGTCGGTGAAATTTAAATGAAAATAAAGTGAATCTTCTTAACGTCTTCAAATCATGATTTTGAATTTATAGACGCTCGTCACATAATTTTTGCCGACATGAAAATCCTGAATTAAAATTAAATAAATCACATGCCATTGCACCTTCTTTTCTTTTTTTTAAGATCAATTCCTTTTGAAACCTTTTATTGTCACGCACCTTTCATAAAAGAATGCCTACAGCGTCAAGAAGTCAAAAGAGAATTCATGAAAGGTGCTTGGAGCACATAGAACTATATTTATTGGTTATGTGTCAAAAATAATAATTGTCCACCAAAAAATATGAAATTATTATCTTTATTTTTTATGTTGTGATGTTTTTCAATAAAAATATATTACTTAAAACTTATTCCAGTATAAATTGAGCCTCTATCATTTTTAATCATGTTTTTTTAGTCTTCTTTTCTGTCCTTTTTTTTTAGTTTTTTTTGTCGAATTTTGTCTTTTCAACTACAATACCACACTAAATTATTTATTTCAATTAAAATTATCCACTGTTGTGAAAAAAAAATGGTGCCAATGTGAGATGCAATGCATTATACACACACATTGTGACATACTTTAATATTTTCACAATGCATTTCAGTAATAAATGCAAAACATTTTAAAACTTCTGTGTTGATTGGATTGTAATTGAAATGCTTTTGTTATAACATGCTTAAAAGCTCAATTTTTTATACATATATACACACACATAACAAGGACATACAATTGCAAAATAATTTTTCATATATTTGTCTGTAAACCTATAGGTTAACCTTGTGTTAAGTCTGTATGACTGTTGAGTTATCTAGTCATTTAGATATAATCAAACAAACTACTATCTCAATAGACACAGAAGCTAGATATTAAACCCAAATACATAAAAAGTTTAAATTTAAAATAATAAAATGAAAGATCAAAAAGAATAACATTAGTAGCACCAATATTTATTATAATTATAATTTAAAAAATTATAATCCTTGAGAATTAAACCAACAAGTTCAAACAAGTCAAGAACAAAAGTTGGCTCAATTGCAACAAAATTGAAAGATAATTTTTGAAAATTCAAGAAACATTATTAAAAATACGCCATAAATTGGCAAAAGTTAATGAAGGTTTAAGTTATAGTAACTTGTATTGAAATTTGAAAACTCCAACCTTGCAAACATTCAGATCATTGCAAATAAATTAATATCAATAGAAAGAATATATAGAGGTTAAGTGATACTTCCATTTAACATACAAAAGAAAAACTTTGATGCTGTTTTTGAGTTATTCAAATTAACTTTAAAAAAAAAGGTACATCTTTTCTGCAGGATTAATGTCACTAAGACTAAATAAGTACCAGAAGATTGATTGAACATTTTTTTTTTTTTTAATCAATAATATTCTCAGTAACATCTTAATTGCATTTTCTTTGTTCTTTCAAAATTTTAATTCTAACACGTTCTAATTTATTCTTTTTTATTCTTTCAAGACCTAAGTTACTTGTATTTCTAATAAATAAATATATTTTTCTCATTATTTAATAATTGATATTTTACATTTTTTTTATTTTTTATTTTTTTTTAGACATATAAACTCTTCTTATTGAGGAAAATATAAGAAAATACATTTTTTCTCATCATGAAAACATTGTTACATATATTTTAAAAAATAGGATTAAGTTTATTTTATAAAACTTTGACATATTAATTTCAAATTTTGAAGACACATCAACCAAGTACAACTAATCAATGAGCCCCAACAACAAAATTATTTCACTCAATCATCTTAAGTCAAGTTTGTTAAAACATTACTTACTTGTGTTCTCTTGATTTTCATCATTGTTAGATCAACACAATCAATATCAAAGAACCGAAATGCATTTCGAAATTTTTTTCAATCTATGCTCAAAATAAATAAACAAAAAGAAAAAAAATCCAATTTGCCAAACAATCATCAAGATCCAAGTCTCAGGACCGAAGAATTGTCTTCTATTTTTTGTAATTATTTGATTGACGGTGGATATCATTGTGAACATAAATGGTTTAAATGACTGAATTATCGAATGTCTAACCTCCAACTAAACCTTGCTGAGCATGCACTCAATTATGTTGCATTTCCATCACAACAAAAACCCTAACCTAACAGAAAAACATCCACTATAACACTGCAGAAAATGAACCCAACCATGAGAAAAACTTGGGAAGCAAAATCAATCACGGGAATCAGCCAGCAATTCAATCTGACACCACCCTATTGCCGTGGCAAACGTTTCTTTTATTCATACCCGCTGGGTATAATGCACCATGAGAACCAGAAGGATACCCGCCGGGTACAAGGTGTGAGAGTGGGTGTCGGTGGCACAAGTTAGGGTTTCGGTGGTCCCGCAGCGAAAGTGAAACTTGCAACCAGCCAGGGATTGTTCCTTTTGCGCTCGTGCTTCGTCGCCATCGTTTTGCACCAAACGTTTGCTCTTGGAAGCCCAGCTTTGCCTTCCATCATGGCGACTCAGATGAGCAAGAAACGCAAGGTTTGTGGTTCTAATTTCAGGCACTTCGAAATTTCGAGATACTTGAGGTTGTGAGGGTTTTTTAGTATTACGTTTTGTTGCCCGATCCTTTTGAAAGTTTTACAGCTCTGCCGTGTGTCTGGTCTCGGTCGCGCAGTTTGTAGCAGACGGTGTGTTTTTTGCTGAGCTCAATGAGCTTCTCACCCGAGAGCTTGCTGAGGACGGCTATTCCGGAGTGGAGGTGCGCGTCACGCCTATGCGAACTGAGATCATCATCCGCGCAACCCGTACTCAGAATGTATTGGGTGAGTCTCTTGGCTGCACTGACATTATGCGCTATGGATCTGGTAGTCTTTGAGATAATTAGGGTTTTTTCTCTTTGGCCGGAGGTGAATTTGCGGGGGTAGTCGGATTGAAGTAGGGTGACTGCTCCCTGGTAGGTGAGAAGGGACGAAGGATCAGGGAACTGACCTCCGTGGTACAGAAGAGGTTTCAGTTCCCGGAGGGTACTGTGGAGTTGTACGCCGAGAAGGTGAACAACCGGGGTCTGTGCGCCATTGCCCAGGCTGAGTCGCTGCGATACAAACTCCTGGGTGGTCTCGCTGTTCGCAGGTGTGTGCCTCGTATCTATTAGACTTTGTACTAATCCGCACTATTGCTTGATCACCTTGATTTTCTACGAGGTTAACTGCGCGTTCAGAGCTCAGCGTATCGTTCTGATGTGCTGATCTTAAATCTGAACGCTAGGGCTTGTTACGGAGTGCTGAGGTTCATTATGGAGAGCGGTGCCAAGGGTTGTGAGGTATGATTGGTCCCTCAACTGCTATCATTTCCCGAAAATGTACTTTTTAAAGTTAAAGAAACATGTTAGATTGCAAAAAATTATGCTCGGTAATGTAACGTGAATTGATTGACTTATCAATTTCAGTTTATTGTCGAAGTTGTCAGTGTGTTCTGATGTGAGGCTTGAAGCTGTGTTGTACTGGATGGATACGTTTGTATACTTGAGTTTGGATTGAGTGCTCAGTTGGGATGTGATACAAGGCGTTTTACATTTTCATTGTTGTAGGGATGAATATGCAAAGTTTTATCTTGCGGATATGCAGCCCATCAATACATCTTCTCTAGTATGCGGCAAGTATCTGTCAAGCAAAAAACTTTACAATTTTTTTTTAATTAAATGCAAATGATCTCGTTGCTGTATGTTGGTAACAGGTTATTGTGAGCGGAAAGCTGCGTGCAGCTCGTGCTAAGTCCATGAAGTTCAAGGATGGTTACATGATCTCATCTGGGAGCCCTGTCAACGATTACATCGACAGTGCCGTCCGACACGTTATGTTGCGTCAGGTACACAAGATGCTTGATGTCCGTCAGTAGCTCCTTTTTCGTACTAGAAAGATATTGATTGATAGTCGGTGTTCCCGAAGTGAATCTGAAGTGGAGGATTACTTTGGTATGTTTACAGGGCGTGCTGGGCATTAAGGTGAAGATCATGCTCGACTGGGATCCAAAGGGGAAGCAAGGACCCATGACTCCACTTCCCGATGTAGTGACTATTCACATGCCCAAGGAGGAGGAGGAATTTGCCCACAAGCCTCATGTAGGCAAGGAAGCAGAGATGTAAACCTTTACCTCGAGTACAATGCAATTTTTCAACTGAGTTTATATTTGTATGTGTGATTCAATTCTGGGTTGTTTTATGGAGTTGGCCGTTTCGACCTCTCGGTGTTAAGGGCTTCACGAAGCCGACATCTATCCTGAAAGGTTCCGAGGAGAAATGGATCCCAAGTAGCTGGCTTCGTATAATTTACGTGTATTGAAGCATCTTATGAAGGAGATCAGAAGTTTATGGCATTGTTGACCCAATACACCTTTGATGAGGTTGAGTGCCAGCTTTTTGAATATGGAAAGGAATCAGTATACAGTGTAATGGTTTTGTTGAAGAGTGGTGTAAAGAAACTCTCGGAGGTTTACCAGCTTCGGGGGAGTTTTGTCTAAGGTGGAAAAGTTTGGTTTCGTTCATGTTTTTTTTATTTTGTGCTTTAGTCAATTTGTGGGTGGTTGCTTTTTGAGTGCAAGTACACCTTGACAATCTTATAAATCATCATGGGCCGTTTTAAAGTGTAGCATTAAGCGCATGTCGAGGAGTAGTACCTGCTCTGAAATGGATATCTAGCGACGAGTTAGATGCAAGTATCGAACTAAATTTCTTAAAACCATGTAATTGTGTTTTGTGTCTTAAGTAATTATAGACACGTAATATAGACTGTAGTACAACGTGAAATATTACGTTTTTATTCTAATTATAACTCTTACTTTTAATCTCTTATTTTTCTACTTTTTACTACAGTTCATCACATGAGCCTTAACAGAGTATTTCGAAGCCCAGTTGAGCTACTCCACAAGTAGGACTTGTCACTGAGTGGTGCACAATGATCCTCATATTTTTTATGATATCTGCATCTAGTAACTTCAAGTACATATTCCCCTACATCTCTTTCATAAGTTTTGAATCTTAAAACATTGACCCAAGTTTTCCTGTTACGGAGTGTTTCAAGTTGAGCAGTATTGCATGAATTTCAAGAGTACACAACTCTATGATCGCAGAAATATAACTCAGGGATGTCAATGAGAATATATGAAAGATCTTGCAATTGCGCATCATACAGAAACGAGAATAAAACATCTTGAAATCAAGGTAGATTATGAGGTTCACTTATTATAACAGTGAGAATCACCTTCAAATGATGAAGTGTGCCCTACTGCATTCATTTGACACTTGACAGCCAAACACCTACAATGGCAACTTTGCAAACATTTCTTTTGAAGATAATCAATACATGTCCCTCTTTTTTTAACCCCCACCTCAAATCATCATGATGCATAACATAGACTTTACTGGAGCATGAGAGTCCACTTCGCTGAAATGACGAGACATGGGCCCTTACAATTTTTCTTTGACTTAACAATTGTATCATTTTTTTTCTTCTTCTTCTTCTCTTCTTCTGTGAACATAATATCTTAAGACGGGCTGCAGCTACTAAAGCACACAATCACTTCCACATAGAGAACGTAGGTTTTTTGGACTGGTGAATCCAAGATGCATCTGCAACAGCAAGACTGCCTCCAAAAACCTGCCGGTGAATTTCAAGAATCCAAGAAGCATCTGACAGAAATACAGCTCCATGCAGATGTGTTTAGGTGTTCACTTTGATCTCTAGTTACACAATGAAGTCATGCTGAGAAGATCAGACCAAACCCTTTTAAATCTAAGCTCATTTTCCACATTTTGGTCTAGAGCGAGGAAACGACCGCCTTGTGATCTTACAAAAACCATTTGCAACAACTTACACGAACCTGACAACCTCCAGGTTATCACCTTGTTACCATTGCAAGATGTTTCTAATTTGTCATGTAGCAAAAAATTGAATCACAGTTCTATGCCCTGTCTGGAAACTCAGAATTGACCTTCAAGGCTCGAACTGTAACCTCTTCTGACAAGGAAAGATGCTATCACAATCCAACTTATGACGACGAGGTTGTTTATACTGGATTTCTGATCACATGGCAGACAACAAAACTTTCTCTCATGGTGTAGAGAGGTAGCTTCCTTAAAGAACTTAAGTACCTCCAAAATCTACGAAAAATAAGATCTCACCAAGCTGCCCAACCGAACAAGGCTGCTACTACTGGACATTTCACAGTACAAGCTGGACCACACTTGTGGCAGAAGAATGCATAGACTAGTTTGTTGCTCACCCTTCACCAGCAAGATTGAGCATGGACTTGGGTGGGACAACAACATTCATCAGCAAGTCTTCTTACCATCCATCTTCTGCCACAAATCCTCTTGTTGATTTGAAAACAGTAAAACAATAGATTACTGATACGGTGAGATGCACAATATGAATTTCGAATTAGAATTTGCTAGTAAGAATACAAAAGCTGAGGATTCTTGTCCGACGAACTTGCTAGAGCTTGAGTAATGCGCATAACCCTAAAATGGCAACCAAATACAGGATTTGCAGTTATAACAAATCATGAGCAGCTGAATAGCTGGAGGTAGTCACCCTAGCGAATCCACATCCTGAAAGTTTACATGCAAACAGGTTCATTTACACCCGTTAGATGACATCAAGTGCTCTGAAATAAGCTATACTCAGACTGTAAATCAATAACTTCAGTAGCGAAAGCTGACCCTAATATTACGGCTTCCTAATGCATCACATAACTTGAGATTCTTAGCATCGCCTGCTTAGTATCGGTAATTCAGATGTACAAACCGAACCCAACCAAACCAAGACAAGAGAGGATTTTGAGGGTGTGAAGTGTTCAATGTTACACATAATGGTACTAGCACATGCAAAAAGCTCTTTAATGAATAAATGGAAGTGTGGTACTGAAACAGGGTGGGAGCGATGATGGTGAAATGCTCTCCGATGTGTGTATCTGTGCCTCAGCGCGACGTTAGAAGCAACTTACTACGCTAACTCAAAAAGACTTGTATCCCTGGTTGGGACAAACCGAAGTCGGTTTCTATTGCCGGTCCTTGCAAGGAGGTTGATTAAGGTCTAACAAGAAGGGATAGGGTGTTCTTCGCATCACGGGCTTCGCATCGTGCGGCGTAGGGGGGGTCGCACATGCTGCCTCAGAGTTGAGAATCACGGAAGAGGACGAATCGCAGTCACTATGGCAGGCACGCGTCTCGGGAGTAATTTCAGACGCATGCTGTTCCATTCCAAGTACTGTGTTTTCTTCGCTGCCCAACCAATCACGACCAACTGACAACCTCTCGGTTGGAGTTATCGGAGTGGGTTTCTTCATGACCCTCTGACGTTTACTTTCGACTACATGGCCAGCCTCTTCAAAGAGAGCATGGATCGGGCTCGGTCCAGCCCGTTTGCTCGATAAAGCACAAGTAACGCCCTCCTCAACGCACGACCGACCAGCGCTTACACTCTTGTATTGGAGTTGTCCGTCATCGGTGACAGGCAACGGATCCTGCGCCACAGATACATTCAGGTCCAAACGATTACGCCACGACGAAGACTCCGATGCTCCCCCACTAGATCGATAGAGATTAATGTGAATACTTTTGGATGGATGATGAGAACTCTGCTTCATCGGCCCGTTAGACAAGGACTCCACGGTTGAGCTCTGACTAGTCATGCTATGATCATCACCGCTGGGAGGAGGTGGAGAAAAGTTCGTTTTAGCTTTGGTACCCCTCAGTGCCCTTGCCGCTGCAAAGGAACAATCACAATTGCCAAAGTCAGTTCCGAGAAGGAAAAAAGGCCAGAAAAAAATTTAAAAAAAGCGGAATTCGACAGTTCAAGCATTCATCATCATTACTATAACCCAGTGCACCTGAAAAAACTACTAGAAAACGCATTACAAACAAATGCATTCGCATCGTACCACTATCGTATGCACGTGCAGCTTCTTCCGCAGTGTCGAAGGTCCCCAACCACACTCGCGTCTTCTTCCATGGATCACGAATCTCAGCCGCGAACCGACCCCAGGGCCGCTTCCTCACACCGCGGAAGTGTACTCCCAGCTCAGCCTGGTGAGCCTTAGTGGTACTCCCCGCTCTATCATCACTTCTTAGCGCCATCACCACTCTTTCACGAAAACAGTCCGCTGCAACAATGACCTTTCCGCCTCGAATTCGTTCTAACCTCCCAGGGAATCACTCAACCGACTTTAGACACTCTCCAATTATTCACGTCGAAACAAAACTCCGTATCAAACCTTGATGACGCGACTCCTCTGCACTCTCCTCAAAAATCTCAGGCGTGAAACCCCCCGCTATCAACCAACAAACCCCAAACACACACAAAGCACCACTGGCGGTATCCTCTCACAGGCTTCCAAAAACTCAAGCCTCACATCTCCGCTTCTACACCTCAGCGCCTCTTACAACTTCTCCAACTCATTCCCGTCGTTCTTCTCAACCCCGCTTAACCTCCAATCGACGAACTCCTCCCTTCACGGCTTTCGACTCGAGCTTTCCTCCTGATCCCCAACCGCGTCCACTCTTCCTCTCTCTCTCTTACACACACACACACTAACTGTGCGTCTCGTGCTCTAGCGTGAAACAAAGTGATCCATCACCAATGCGGATGTCCGATGAGATTAAGATCGTTTGAACTCAAGCTGAACGAGCGGCGAAGAGACTGAATACGAACAAACTGAGTCCAAGAGACCGATATAAAAAGAAGGGGGGTGAGGCGGTGATGCTGATGAAGGGAGTGAGAGAGAAAGTGTAGGCGGAGGATGAGCCTGCGGAGGATGAGCTATGTTTGAGCCTGGACAAAACGCGAATAAACTAATAGAGAGAGCATACGCAAAGCGGACCAGCGGGAGGGAGGGGAGGGGGGGCGGGCATGGTGGAGCATGTCCCAGTCTCTCTCCCTTCTCCGCTTCCCTTCTTCCACTGTTCATCCCTTGCTTCCTTCCTTCCCTTCACCCCGCGTCTCTGACCCCACCCAACCCGGCCCGGCCCAGGCCCCCCTTCTGTGCCCTCTCCTTCTCTCTCTTCCCCCCGTTCTCCTCATCCGCAGCAGCAACCGAAGAACCCTGGTCACCCGGCCTTGCATTGGCAGATGGCCCCACCCCACCGGGCTCCCTCCTCTCCCTCTGTTCCTCTTTCTCCCCCTTCCCTCGTCAGCTTGTTGTACGAATGCTCAACATGTAGCAGCAGCAGACTACCACTGCAGACCGACCGAGAGTTGGGTGGGAGGGAACCAGCAAGCAAGCCCCACCCCCCCCCCCTCCCCCCTCCCCCCTTTCACACTCTCTCCCTCTCTCGCCCTCCCCTTTCACGTTTCCGCTTCCAGGCCGAGGGAAAGGTGGGGGTTGTGCGCGTTGCAGTTGAATCCCCCGGCCTTCGACCAATGGAACCCAAGGTTGGACCATAGAAAAGTCTATCCTTCCCTACTACCCTACCACCCTACCCTAAGCTGGTCTTGGCACTAGGGAGAGAGAAGCCACGCGGTCTAGAGGGGCTACTGAGGGGAAGGGGCTATGGCCGGGCTATTGGCCGGATGAACCCGCGCAGGCACGGGTTGGGCAGTTTCCCTGGCGGCTCGCGTTACTTATGGGAGACCCCTTAGTCGCCCCGGGGGTAGTTGTTTGTCTGTGTGTGTGTGTGTTTTTTCTTTACCTCGCGGTGGGTAACTTTATTCTCCTATTATTTACTTTTTATTTTGTTTTTCCACGGGCGATGTGGTTCATGCTGGTGAGTGTTGGCTGCAGCCGTATGGTAGGGCTGGTGCCCGGCCCTGGGGATTGGTAGGTGGGGCCCCACCCGAACCCAACCGCCCTCCTCCTCCCTCTTCATGTTTTATGTATATATATATATATATATATATATATTATAATGTCTTTGTAGTCCAACTTGTCTTTGGTGTAAAATACTCACTTTTTAAAATATTCAAAACAATCTTGAATGGTGAAAATATATTACCTAGTCATGTGTAACAAATTGTGAAGATGATGAACTCTCTTACAATTGGAAGATGTGATTTCAAAGAAAGGAGAGAGAGAGAGAGAGAGAGAGAGAGAGGAGTTACGGGAAGCTTTTTCAGAATTTTTGATGTTTATGTAAGCTTCGCTTTTGGAATTTGCCACTTGTGATGTCAACCTTGGGGGTTTGTTGTGTATTTTATCAAAAAACAATGACGAGTGAGAGCCATGGGGATTCAATAGACTCTTGATGAGAGAAGTAGATGTCCCATAGTGAGATTGGCTGACCCACAAGGAAAGAGAGAGACACTGGCTTCAAAACCCTCATTTTGGAACACCAATCAGTTATTTTCATTTTTTGCTCCCATTTTTTTCATTGTGTGGGGTTTAATTCAGTAGTAGGTTTTTTTTACAGTATATATATATATATATATATATTAGGATTTCTTGTGGCCTCTGATTTTTAGTAACAAAGTGATGATGTGGGAGTCCTGTCAATTTTTATTTATTTATTTATTTATTTCTCTGGCAATGATGTTGCTCCCTTGACATGGAACCCATGATTTTTCATGAGACCCAATGAGCCAAAGTAGTGAGGGAGAGAGCTCATATTTCCAGCTCCCTTCAGTCTTCTCAAGTTGGATACAAGCCACTGCCTTCAACAGACAGCTCAGATACCACATCCAGCAAGGCAATGATCACCTCTTGCTTTAGAGTTTTTAAAGCAACCTATGTTGTTGACTGCATGATCAAGCGCTCAGCCTCCACTCTTTAAAGCACCTGCAAGTGATGTCAAAGCCTTTGCCAGGTTTCAATTACTGTGTCAGCTCATGGCAAGAACACCCAACTTGGGTCCCCACCAAAACAATAATTTTTTATTTCTTTTTGTTGAGAGAATTGCAAAAAATCACAATGAAACTGAAACAAAAACAAATAAAACAGTGCTACACACTTCACCTAGAGCTCCATGAAACTAGGAGGGAGCAGCAGCAGTAACAGTGGGTACTGCTGCTGTGTCGTTGTGGCACAAAAGCTTCAATCCATGACCTCCATGGATGTGGACTTTGTGAGACCATTGGATGAGTTTATTCAACCCCCATTTGCAGACAATTCTGTGGGCTGTGCAACATGTAAGCAATATGGCCACAGTTGCAGTTTTTCTTGTTCTTTTTTCCTTTTCTATGTTCCTTTCTTCATTGTCTTCCAAACTTTTAGGCAGTGTAGAATGTATTGTGTGTGTGTGTGTGTGTGTGTTTTTTATTTGTTTTTTTTTTTCATGTTGAGGGCAACTGGAGTTCATCTGGTGTAGACAGTAAGGGAGCAGTGAGCATCAAGGGCCACGTGAACAGATGTAGGAGCAGCAGCTGCCCATACATTGTTGTTATTGGACAGAGACTTAGTTGTAGGTTTTCACTGTGGGTAGTTTTTCCTCCCATCAAACTTTGTCTGATGTGACCTTACAAGTGTCTTGGCATATTAAGTAATAATAGCCAGTAAAAGAAACAATATGTGGGTTTTTTTAGCAAGTGTCAAAATTGTATAAGGAAAGAGAGAGAGAGACTGCTGTGAGTTTATTTATGCAAGGATCATTGCCCTGGACACCAAAAGCCATGAGCAAATGTTTACATATAGTCATATTCCTTGGTTAGTTCCTAAAGCTGAAAGCTGAATGTGTTTTTGTTTTTTTTTTGTTTTGTTTTTTTTCAATTTTATAATATTATCATAAATTTGGTATTCTTGTGTGTTGATTGGTTGTGCAAGCTCATTAGGGTGTTTTGTAACATGAAGGACATGTGCAGGTGGGATGTTGGCCTGGCTGTAGCATCAGCCCAAGTAAAGCTTAATTGGATGTGAGCCTGCAGCCTTTGTAAATTCTTTGGTCTGCAAAACCTCTTCCAGTATGGCTGCTGTTGCTGCTGTTGCCTTTGCCTTGAGAGGGACCCCATTTTACTAGGGCAGGATGCCAATTTCAAGCCATCCCACCAACTTGCCTTGAAGAGCTCCACTGCACCTTATGGTTGATGAAATGTATGGATTGATGACTAATAAATTTGTGGATGAAGTAAGCATCCTTGAAGGGTTCCTTTTGCAGAGGGTGCAACCAGGACACAAGTGTGTGTGTATATATATAGATATATTCCCCCCTCTAATGCTAACAATGGGTTACTTTCACAAATTGACCCTAAATTTGGGCATGAATTGGGACCTTGTGCAGGGTTGAGATTAGAAGCCCGCAACTTACTTCATGATTGGGTAGGCTTTTCTTCACCTTTTCTCTGTGTATCAATCTTTTGTATTTGAGGGGAGGAATACAAATGAATATCTAATGTTCCAACATTGTAAGTTATAAAAAATGGTTGAGTACCAAGATACAAGATATGCCACCTTGTATTCTTATTCTTACTTACCAATCTGTGAAAACTTGTAGGTTTGATGCCTCAAAGTTGGATTAATGTAAAATTCATTGAAAAATGTCTATTGAATTCCATTAGAAGCAACACTACAGCCTTGTGAACCATGGTAAATTTTGTTCACAACCAGGTCTAAATGGGAGTAAAATTTGAGGCTACATGTGGTCCTTACAATATGACATAAAACATAGAAGCAGTGGGTTGAAGCCATGAGGTATTCATGCTAATTCAACTATATGTTTTTTATTTGACTCATACATTTATAACTAAGTAAACCAAAAAACTAAAAAACTAAAAAAAATATTGGATCCAAATGAATCTCAGGAGACATTAAAAAAATGAAAATGGTTTGGTACACAAATAAACACATCACTGCATTCATTGATACCAGTGTAATTTACTTGTTCTTTTTATAATTACATATTGGAACTGTTTTGATTCTCATACACAACATCAGTGGCCATTACAATAATGCTTTTGGAGAGTTTGAGTTAAAAGACTACATGAACCAGTATAAAACCCTTTGTCAAATCTATAAGCTACAAACGACACTGCTGTTTGTTTTCAACTCTGTCTATTCACCACTCATGTAAGCAAAAGATGATGTTGTATTCTAAATCGTGCTGAAATATTTTTTGCAGTGGAATTGCCACAACATTACAAAAACACTGTGGATATGCACCTTATTTTTTCACAGTTTTGCACTTACACCCCCCAGCCATGTGAGGACATGTATAGCATTCCTTGTGGGACAAAGGGTTGTTCTGCAATGACAGGGACCCAATTCCAGCATTGCTGGCAAGTTGACAAAAGCCCAGTTGGACAGGGGGCAGGGTAGAGGCCTGGCAGATGGCTGAGCAGCAGGGGAAATAAAGAGTGAATCAAACTAAATAAATAAATAAAAATAAGCAATGTATGCACAGGAATCATAGAAAAGAGATTTGCCTAGGGAATAGTTCTAGCCACAAAAGCATTCATTTTTCTAAAATAATAATTTTAATTTATTTTATTTTTTCTCTCTTTCTTCTACAATGTCCATTCCATTTTAGTTTTCTTTCTTCTTTTTTCTCTGTTTGATTTGGACAAATTCTATTGTGTTCCACCACCTCCACACAGGTTTTCCTTTCAACAGTTTGTCTGAATGCTGATGATGCCAGAACAAGGGGGAGGGAAGTGGAGTCAAAGTTTTACTGCATTGTGTCTGGGGGCTTTGCATGCTAGTGTGTGTGACATGTGGGTTCAACCTCTCTCAGGCAACAAGCAGAAGCCTCTAGAAGCTTCAAGAACTTACTGGAATAGTAGGCAGAGAGTTTGTTGTATGCTTTGGTTTTTTCCTGCTTGGAGTGGAAGTCTCTTCTACTTTGTCTTCTTCCTAGCAGGTGGTGAGCTTCATCACCACAAGACACACAATATTTTCATAGTAAGTAAGTAGGGAAAGCCAAAGGGTTG